TGCTAGAAACCGGGTTTCGATACCCGTGGTGGGTAGAGCACAGATAGCCTATTGTGTAGCTTTGTGCTTAACTTCAAAACAAACAACAAACAAAACAATAACTTTCTATTCAATGTTCGTCCTTCACCACACACCTCGAGCACTATTTTTACCTGGATAAATAAATTCAACCCTCTATCTTTTATAAGGAAAGGGTTTTTACCCACAAAGTAAGTACATAAAGTAAAGTATTATGAATAAATCAGATACCAACTAAACATGCAAGACAATAGAAAAAATAGAAGACCCTGATAAGATTGCTCAAATTCAGAGGTTACTAATTTTAATGTAAGTTAAGGTTATGAAATAATTTATTTGCATAAAATCTGACTGATGATCTTAAAAGAAAGAAACCGTACTTGACATTTTTGAGAACCGGAAGCACGGAAATCCAAAACTGTTCTGTCAGATGAGGTAGTCCTGACAACATCAATCCTCTCAACATGGAACCTTGAAGAGTGATAAACCGAAACAGTGCTTCTTCTGAAATGTTTTCATTTCTATCCAAATCCAAAGCTATAAGATTTTTAATGTTTCCCTTTTCCATGAATTCTTTCATCACCTATAATAGATATTACCATTTCATTAGTGCTTATGTAGTATATTATTTATCATACCGATCATTTTACACTGGATAGTACTGTTTCTAAATAGCTGGGTGATGCCACTATTACTTTGTTTCTTTACGATAAGTGATCGCCACGCAATGTTCATTTTTTTTATCTGGGTAACGAGTCATTTCTTTTTCTTTAAAATTATGTTATATTCATGAGTTATCCGGCAGCTTTAACTAATTAAAAACTTTTTGCAATCTCGTATTCAGGAAAAGGTGGATCCTGTTGTAGATGGATTCTGGATATGCTTCATTTAATGACTTCATCTACAATAACTTAAATTTATTGTTTTACCCAATTTAATTATTATTACTATCTTAATCATTGCTTGATTTTCTCAGACTATTGAGTAATACCCTTAATTCCATTAATCACTAATTAGCTTCTAAAGAATATTATCCATAATGGTTTGAGAAATATGAATAATGAGAAAATTTCCACCTTATTTTCAAAAACAGATCCTGTTAAATTTTAAATGAAATGAGTATTAAAAAGTGAGTAGAAAATCAATGTTTATATTACGCCATTTAGGCGAGCAATTCAATTTAACAAGGATTAGTCATAGGTAACCTAGGGAAACATATAGTTTATCAGTCTAAAGACCATTTTATTCACGTGTTCTTACTTGGTCTGTAAAAGCGTCCAGTTGACCAGCACTTAAATACCGTAACGCTGGAATTCGTGTTAACAAGTCGATGAGACACTCCGCTGACAACTGAGTGGCAGTAATATCCAACTCCTGCAAACACGTTTTTTCCCATTCCACTGCCATTACGTGGTCATTCTGAAGACCTGAGTGAACCCAAATTAAAGTTAGGCACAATAATTACTAATAATTTCTTACTTATATTAAGAATTTATATTAAAACCTTTAATATTTAATCTCCAGATAACACATCTTCTAACATATTACTGCCATCACGTGGTCATTTTAAAGACATTGGTATACCTAAGTCAGGATTACTCTCCAGGATAAAAACTCTATGTGGCGGGTAAGTATTACCATCAAACCGTGACAATAGAATCAACCATTTTGAATATATATGTGTGTGTGTGTTTGTGTATTCAATTCAATGCCTATTGATTTAAGTATATTTTGTATAAAATTGACAGTTGAGCGTGTGTAATGTGTTCTACTAAAATATTAAATGATAAAGGACTTTACAGCTGTCTAAACACAGTCAATAACAGTTACAACTACCCCCACACTCACCAATGACCTTAGTAGTTTGTTAAGTTTACATTACTGAAAGCTTTAGTTATGGCAGACTTGCGCATAAGTTAAATTATAAACATGAAAACATTTTTAATATACAATAAAACTTTATTTACACGTCGACGGCCACAATTTGAAACTCTTCATGTTTCAGCAGATTCACATCTTCAGAAGTGGCATCTATTGCCAACAGAAGTATTAATAAAGTATTAATGTGTATTTCACATTACACAAAATTATGGGAGAGAAGTTAAATTAAGTTTTATGTATAAAGTCAAAGTGTCATATCCTAACTAAATATTGGTACTAGCTAACCCTTGATATATATTTCACAAGGAATATTTTAACTATGCCACAAAATTTCAATTGATTCTGTAATATCAGTTCTTCAGTTTGAATTATTTAAAAGTTCAACTTCGTTTCATAAAATGATAAGACCTGTTTCATGAATATGTTCTGTAATGAAAGTAATTCAAACTGTGTACACGTACTCTTTCACAATATATTGATAAATACGTTACTCAAATACTTCATATTTAAGTAGTAAAAAGCCCGGCATGGTCAGGTGTATAGGGCGCTCGAGTCGCAATCTGCGGGTCGCGGGTTCGAATCCCCGTCACACCAAGCATGCCAAATATAGATTATTGAAAACTTCAGTTTCAAGGACTGGCGTTGAAATTTTTTTATATTTTAAAGTTAATGATAAATATTATCAACATAAACTGGTTTGACCATGGTTTCAGGCACACACACCCCACATTGTGATCTTTACGTGGACAGTTTTGAGTGTACTGCATCAGATTATTGTTGGAGAGTTGTGGACACATTTTCGATGTAGCGACATGGTGATAATAACTTTAAATGTTCCGATTATTTAAATAACGTTGAACTGTATAAATATCAAGCGACCAATTCAGCCTAACACCCACCACTATACTAGTACAGATATGTTTACGATACATTTGCTGGATTTACATCTACAGAACACCCACTTAGTTTTTTCAACCACGTTAACTCCATACACCCCAACATTAAATTCACACGTGAATACGAGAAAGCTAAACAAAGAACATTTCTCAACCTCAACATCCCAAGAACCGAAACACAATTCAAAACAGAAATCCACAGAAAAATCATCCATACTGGACTATACATTCCCTGGGACTCAGCACATGAAACAAAACAAAAATTCAACATATTAAAAAACCCAATAAACACAGCCACAAAACTATGCTCAACAGATAAAATGAACGAGGAGATCAAAAAATTAAAACAACACTTCCTCAACGTCAATAGATTTAATTCGAAAACCGTCGAAAAAATCGTACATACATTTACCTAGGCCAACAACACAATCAACAGCAAACAAACAATAATAACTTCAATGAAACAACTAACTATAAAATCCTGCATTGTTGCACACTGTATATTCCCGATATTAGCGATACAATAATCAACATTTGGCAAAAACTTACAACAAAACATAACATTCCAATAAACACTAAATTTATTCAAAAACCGGGCACAAAACTAAAATCCATACTATGTAAAAACTACACTGACAAACATAACACCAACATTATTTATAAAATACAATGCAACAACTGCCACGATTTCTATAACGGAGAAACAAAGACATACAAACGAAAAATCAAATAAGTCCTACTTATACAAGAACTCAAATCAAAATTAAACCAACATAAAGGAACACCTTTACACCTATATTAATTAATTACCTATCATCTAACTACTATACCACCTACAATCTCACTCTCGTCCCTAAGACATGTGCCCAGTAACGGTCTTCAAACTGTCTTTGTTAAACTGAAGATGACCTAAGAAGGTTGAAACGTTGTTCTTGTATTTTATTTTAATTAAAGTTTTTAATTCCCATACCAGCCGTCTCTGCTATATATCAATAAAATTTACATATAAAATAGAACAAAACAATTCTATATCCCTTTCAGACGTTCTTGTAAAAAGAAACTCTAATGGAAGTATTTCTACGACAGAAATCAACACCTGGTATCCATGCACCCTAATTCTCAAAAAGCTCACATCTTTTCATA